AATCATAATTATAAAAGGCAGGAAGCTAATAATTGAACCTTATTTAACATTTTGGCACTTAGCATATAACACATGTTTGCTCAAAATAGGTCTTAAAAGGACCGTATACACACCAATCCAGGGGGTGCATGCGGTGTGTGGTATGTGGAGGAAGAGAGACAAAAATCACATTATTTTTTGATGCATATTCTCGTGCCTCAACATATTTGTGGGATTCGTGGTTGTCCAGAACCAAGATTACTTTCTTCTCAAGTGTTGGACGCATAACTTCAACAAAGTGTCGAAGCCATTCCAAAAAGGTAGGTCCCGTGATCCAGCCGTTGTCTGTGAAAGTGGTGCCAGGTGGAGACCCATCCAATAATCTGCTAATCATTCTCTTTCTTCCAAAAATGAGAAATGGGGGATCAAAAGATCCAGCTGCGTTGCAACAGCAGACAATGTCGTTAGTTTCCCTCTCTGAACACTAGATATTACGCCAACCTGCTTTTTCCCGGTTCTCGACAAAATTTTTGGAGCTTTATTACTTGTGGTTTGTATCCCCGTTTCATCATCATTATATATCTGCATGTTTCTCTATTTCTATTTTCAGTATGTCGTAGAATCTATCAACTTGCGGTTTGTTAAACCCTCGGGTTTGTGCAATTGATGTTGGTTCTGGTTGTCTAAGCGTAAGGTCAGGGTGCCGCTTTTTTAAACCTAAATACCAGTCGTTTCCTGTTCGGCCGTCTTTAAAAGGGTGCGATATGTTATTTCGATCTGCATACTGGTAAACAAGCTCTAAAAAGTCGTTTTCAGTACAACCATAGAAAATATCATCGACCTGAAATACATATTCTAGTAATTCTCTTTCTTGAGCCTTATTGAACATCGGCTGATATCTTCCTAGCTTCTTCTCAGAACTTCCTTTTTTTATATGCCGTTGCAAAGTAGATAGGGTAAGGCCATAATTCTTTGCGGCGGCAGAGACCGAAGTAGTCTTCGCTTCTTCCATTGCTAGTCGCCTAGTAGTTTCACTCCACGATGCACGTACGGTTTTACGCTTATATTTATTCACCATCTGAAAAAGATCCGAAATATTTTAATACAAAACTGATTCCGGGCAAAACGGGTACATACCCGTTTTGCCCGAGAGCACATGTTTTTTGTAAATTAAGAATAACCTCAAAATGAAAGGTAAATGGTGGCAAACTTTTTATCTTAAATTAAAGTTAGATAGTGCTTGAATGAAACGGTACTACTAATAATATGAGAATTATAAAGGTTTTCGACTAATTACGAGACACTTACCTTGATTTTTTTTAACAAAATCACTTTAAAACTTTCGTTGCACACACCTACGCCATTACGCGACTCCGGCGCCTGAGCGAAACTGATCGAAACTCGTCAATGTTCGGCAACTCTCGACACAAGCACGCATTGACACTTATGCTTGATACAACAATATACGAGTGCTTACCCGTCTTGGGCGGCCCACCCGTTTTGAGCCACCTTCCACACCACCAATCGATATTGGGCGTTTGTTACCCATATGCTAGGCAATTATGTCAGAAGCAGCAGTTACGCGTAAACATGCTTCATTAAAATAATGTTTGTAGATGACCCCCGGGATCCACGATATTCCCATTCTCCTATGTAAGGGCGCCCGACCTGCTTCTTCTAGGGTTACAGATGGACTCACTTGTCACCTCCAGGCCCGCACTTATGGAGGACGGAGGTCGTTCTGCGACTTCCGGCGCCTGAGTCGTCTGCGGCACCTGGCCCGTTCCCGAACCTGGCGAATCGGGAGAGTTCTAAATCTCTCCCGGTCCCGCTCCACCGTCTCCGTCACCGCGTCCGTCACCCACGCCGCGCATTCGTGTCCACGGTCGGGCCATAGGAGTGGTGTTTTTTTTTTAGAACTTGTGATGTATTGAAACAATAATTTGTTAGGGATTAAAAATTAAATTTTATCTGTAGAAAAACTAAATATTCTTAATACATTTAATGGAGACTTAAAGACAAGATAGAACGTTGTACCTATGTTGGGTTGCTGAAATCTATCCATTACGAACAGAATTTAATGATCATGTGCCTCAATTGTTGTTGGTAAATATAACTGTCTCAACTCCACTTTAGTGACTATTGTTTATGAATACGGCCTTTAGCTTTCATTCGTTTTAAAGGACGTATGTATTACTATGAGTAAATCAACATAGTATATAATGTACTCGCGATTGTTTTTTAATCTGATTTACAAAAAAAAAGCACATGTCTGCTTGCGATAATTTGCACGGACGGGGCGTAGTGATTTAAGCGGACACCTCGCCGCTTCCTGCTGAGCTGAGAGTTGCGTGTTTATCAGCAGTCTGGTTACCATTTTTTTGTACGTGTGAAAACCCTCTCGGGCCTTCACCCCACCGGGGTTTGCGGCGGGGCGATGTGGCGGAATCGAACCGATTGAAACCACACGGTGTGCCTCTGCGCCTTAAATGGGAGTGATCCGGGAACAGCTGTTTTTGCAACATCCGGAAAATATTGCACAGGCCCTGCCAAGTTTGGAATCAGACGGCCATGTGTGAGATGTTTAAGGATACTGCTATTATATAGCAGTTAAGTCCCGTTACACTCATCTATTTATTAATTTATCTAATTTTTACCTACTAAATTTTACTGTCAATCCGAAAACATTTCGAAGAAAACTTTCGGTAGAAATAAATAATAGATGGATGCGGACTGCCCAAGACCGGGATAGTTGGCTATCCTTGGGGCGGCCTTCGTTCAACAGTGGTCGGCAATAGGTTAATGCGAAGTATAAATACATAAACCTATAAGCCAAGTTACTGTACAAACCTTCCCGGATACTGCGGCACTGTAAACCGGATAGATATCGAGCTGAACGTTATCTATCCGGTTTATAAATGTTTGCGAATTTTACTTTGCAAGTACACATACCTACAGAAGTGATTCCATATCGGTTATTGCCCTTTATCTAGTTATCATGAGCAGACTCTTCATTACAGATTACTGGAAACTTTAACTGAAGATACTTTTCCTGCCTCACAACATGTTAACCGGTTATGTTACCTATATGCATATTAATTTACCTATAATAAATAGTTTCGGCGTGTCTTACGGAACGTGGGTATATCGTTTATGTATACATAAATACATTATAAATATATAATAGCTGGTACTGTTTTTTGTTATTTTATTGTAATAAAATATTTATTTAATTAGGTTCATTACTTAACACTTAAGTCTACTATCTGCTGGTTTTACAATACACCAGCAGATAGTAGACTAGTAGTAGTAGTAGAGTAGATACATGCAGACATTCAAGCAAGTAGCCTTTCAAAATATACCTATAATTTAGTGTACTTGTACGAATATAACAAATAGCGACTGTTTTTTTAACAAAGTTTGGAATTTCACTCCAAGCAGTGATGGAATCGAGCGAGGCTTCCCGACTTAATGATTATTTAAGTACTTTTGAAGACGATGTTCCGTGTGAAATTATTAATACAACATAGTTTTTTTATATTTATTTTCTACAGTTTTCTACCAACAAGTTTAGTTTCAAATAGATTTGGCCTATGTAAGTATGTAAAGTTTCATTTTTTTTTTTCATAAATTATATAAAGTCTACTTTCAAGTTTGACTATAATTTTAACGTTTACCGTTCTTCAAGAGCATTAAACGTATAAAGTCTCAAAAATGTTTTAATGATTTCAATGAAACAAAAGTTTCATTGTTAAATTTGTTTTCCTAGCTAAGGTAATAATTTGAGGAATCTTAAACTCTTCATCTTTACAAACTCGATTCACTGTGGAAACTTTTCTATTCAAATTACTCCAGGCATATACTTGAAAATTCCCTCTAATTAAAATCGTCGCCCACGAGATCATAGAACTTTGTTGAATACAACCGTGAGTTTATCCAAGTGGTGTGGTATAACTAAATTTGTGATGACTCAGGTTTCTTATGAAACTTAAATTAAACTGTCAGTTGCTCTTTACAATTCCACTTCTCGTCGCCAACAAGGAACTCTTTTAATGCTGGCAGAGGTAGGTACATGGTAGAGACATTACTAGTATAAACCCTTATAGTTAATATAATTGTTTATTTATAATTGTTTGTTAGAATTCATATCGTTAACCATTTGAATGAATGAACCTAAATAAATAGGCATGAATATAGCTTTTTTTAGGTTTTCTCGACCACGTTTAAATTCACGAAATTAATAAGTAACGGTAGTTAAATAAGGAGCACACTCCCCAAATGCAGCATGTAAATTTCGTTTATAATCATAAATTGACATATACATATAACATATACTCGCATATAGGTATATCTTCCTTGGTTTCTTTGCATGGGCTAAGAAACATAGAGATAACTTCAATATTATAAACTAACAAAAGGTAGATAAGCCACCAACTCCTCCACCTCCACCTCCACCAGCCTACTCCACGCTAGCCAATCGCAACTTAGCTAAACAGAGGCAGAGGGAACTATCTGGCGTCCATCTCTCTCGTTGCCTTTATCGCTTCCATTCACAAACAGCTGTACCGAGGGTATGTACCTCGTTCGCAGTGGTCCTAATCCCAACCTCTAACGCTCTGAACGGGGATCGAACGTCTGTCGGGGCTGCCGTACCAATCCAACTCGACTTACAGTGTTTTGCCTTAACAACGCTCAATCAGTTTCTTTACATCGGTTAAGTTCCCCTGATCAACACTTTTGTTAGGCTAAAATGTATTTTAGAAGAGACAATAATCTAAAAATACTATATAATATTGAAATTAGGGTTTTAACATGGTAAAAAACTGCAAAAAAGCTTTTAAAGTCAAAAGTCCTTTTCTAAAGTTACAGTGTAATGGATTGGCACGGCAGAGGGGGGGGAGTGGCGTTAGCTGTCAGCCTTGACATAGTCAACGCCTTTAACTCCCTCCTGTGGTGGGCGATTAGGGAGGCACTGGTGTATCACCAGTGGCCTTACTTATCACGCACGGTTTGTTTCACTCCTAATCACGTGCGGTTCCGCACATCAGGCCTCGCTCACCTCGGAACAAGCTCCAGTTGGCCACACCCCGGGTGTAGTCGGTGTAGTTCATGCACCCAGTGCGAAGGTCTCCTCTTATGATGGCAGTACTTCGTGGACCGCGTACCGTCAGCAGTTCCAGACTGTCGCTACTGCGAACGGGTGAACTGATGAACAGTGCCTGACTGCCCTCACTGTCGCGCTTAGGCTGCAGGCGTTGACAGACCTAGAGGCACTGCCTAGCTCGGGCAGCGGGTTCAATGAACTGTTGGAGGAGCTCGAATCGAGATATAGGGAACGCCATCTGGAAATTCCGCGCCCACCTACGTGATAGAGTTCAACACTCGGAAGAAGGACTACAGCAATGGGCATTAGAAATTGAAAAAGTACGGAAAGCGTATCTTTTGGCCATGACGTGGTGACGTCATCGGACAATGCGAAGAAGTTGTTTGGGGGAGGAACTGTACCTCGACGCAAAATTTAGAAGCATCAGAAGTGATTCAACAATCATCGAGCTCCTTAAGGACTGCAAGAACCTGACTTATTCGCAGAGCATTAAAGCTTAGAAGCTTGTACTGCGATTTGAGAATTTCGTCACTAATCAGGAATTAGACCTTGGAAGAACGTCGCTAGTAAAACACAAGATTGATACTGGAAATGAAAGTCCCATTCGTCAGCGAGCAAGAAGAGTTCCGATAGCAAAAGAAAAAGAAGTGGAAAGCATGCTGAAAGGGATGAAAAAGAACAGAATTATTGAGCCATCTGCAAGTCCATGGTGCTCACCTGTCGTGCTAGTAAAGAAAAAGTTCTGCGTTGACTACAGACGACTTAATGACATCACAAAGAAGGACAGTTATTCACTACCTCGAATCGTCGACGGTTCTAGACCCTAGACTTAAAATCTGGATACTGGCAGGCGGAAATACATCCAAAAGATAAGTAGAAAACTGCATTCTTAACGGGCAAAGAATAGTGGCAGTTCAATGTAATGCCTTTTGGATTGTGTAACGCACTTGCCACTTTCGAACGCCGCATGGAGTGTGTACTGGCAGGGTCAGCAGGGGACGCTCGCCTACTATATTTGGACGATGGCATCATCCTTGGCTGTGACTTCGAGGACCATTTGCAAAAATTAGAACAGGTTTTCAGTAAGATACAGGGAGCCAACTTAAAGCTAAACCCGAAAAAGTGTCACTTATTGATAAATCTTGTTGATTACCTCGCCATGTTATAAGCAGTGAGGGCAACAGAACTGATCCGAAGAAAGTGGAAGCAGTTCAAAAGTGGCCTACTCCTAAAGATAAGACGGAGGTAAGAGCATTTCTCGTTCTGTGTTCGTACTACAGACGCTTCGTCAAGGGATTTTCCGAGATTGCCGTTGCATCGACTGACAGCTAGAAGATAAAAGACCATTCTGTTGGGATGAGCCCTGTGAGTGTTCATTCCTAGAACTGAAGAAACATCTGTGTGTAACACCCATTTTAGGATATCCACAACCAGGGTCAATTTATCGTCGACACTGACGTAAGCAACACGGCAACATGGTCCAGGTCCTCCCAGAGTACCTGAAGCCGTGTGCGTTACCCCAGCAAAATAATGTCGAAAATGGTCATTTAAACGTTATAGATAATTAGTTGCTCCCCTTCTGTAATTGTTAGGCACATTTTTAAATTTGTTTCACTTAAACTTTTTTAGTTATTTCAAAAAAACATTTCCTGCTGGGGTAACGTTTGAAACGTTACCGCAGCCAGACATTTTCTTTTTTAATTGTAATATTGAAATAAATTTTAGCTACATAATTAGTTATCCGGACTAGGTAAATGTTACAACTTATTTGGTGTTTGTATTTTCTTCGGCTGCGAAGTTATTCGAGATCCTGCTGGAGTAACGTTTGTGGGTTTGCTGGATCTCTGAAACGGGTAAGCGGATTGTAACCATCTTTTGTACATAACTTCTTAAGGATTAGTTTTAATTTGTTCGACAATAAAATAACAAATATAATGTACCGTTTAAAAATTATTTAGGTAAGTATGAAAACACTTCAATACGTCCTAACACTTTAAATAAGACCTCTAAAGACTTACTTCAAACGTTATTCTATTGCTTGTAACTACCTTCAAATGTATACGAATTTTCGTAAGAATACTGTAAGAGACTAAAAAGTTATGATGAAATGTAGCTCTCCACGTTCACGATCACAATGTGTGCGGCCTTTTTTGGCCACCGATAAACCTGTGTGTGGATATATAAACTGAATGTTATGCCAATAATTAGTTGTTTAGTTCAGTTGTCTACCTGAAGAATGTCAGCGTCGTACATATAATAACTTAAGAGATAATTAAATAAAAGTCATTAGAAGGTGGTAATCCGACCATGTGTAGGTGGTTACAAAAAAGCGATCACCCAGTACATTGCGCTGTCTTTTAAAATGTTTAGTGTAATACACCTTACGATTTCGGTACCGTTGCGTACAGTGTTAAATACATTCAATATTTATTCATTATTATTACCCACTATTTATTTGGTTTTTTTTCCTAATTGATCTTAAGCACTAAATATGTAGATACATGTATGAACGATTCACCTGACTGCAATAAATCGAAAATTTTAACCAATAACAAATCGTTTCACTTCTTTGATTTTTTTTTGTAAAGAAATAACACTAAAGTAATTGTATTTTATTTTGAGGTGTATAGAGCTTAGACTTGAATGCATCAAAATATTTAAAGCAACAAGTCATCTACAATAAGTTAAAATAGACCGAATAGTAGAAAAATACAGTTGTAAATTAGAATGCATCAACATTGCATCGCCCAACAGTCGTATACCTCGTAAGAGTAGGTAATATTGTTCTGTGGTCTATACCGAGAACCGAGAATTATCTATACCTATGTACCTACCGCTAAGCGTTGAGCCCGTGACTGTTGATTTCTGTTAAAAACGAACAGTTGTTGAATGATATTTTGATAAAATAACGGTAATTTAATTTATCGAGTGAAAGTGATACATTTTTATAGATAAAATTATTGGTCAGATAATATTTGTCAATCAAGAATCGCCGATAATACATCCTTAGCTAGAACGCGGGTGGGGAGGGCCGAAGGGATACTTCATTGTTTGCAATTTGCATCTAGTGCACTAAATTTGACCCTTAGGCATATAATATACGTCTTGTAAAGTGCGTGTGCGCTTCCGCTTTCTATTTTTGCAAATATTTATCTTATTCTTGAGAGTTCTTCAATATGTGTGTACCTAATTACTAGTAATGGGCATTAATGCTAATTAGATTCAATTTAAGTAATTGCGAATTCTTGTCTTAGGATGTAAATTACAAACGTGAACAAATTAAAAGCGATCACAACTTGTAGGTAAGTATATCACTTATTACTAATTTTACATAAATAATTTATTTTATTATAATTTAACTCACCGCGATTTTGTGATCAAATATTATTACATAATCCAACATTATTACAGAAATAATGCAATACAGAGTTTGTTCGCCAAATGCTAGCCTTAGTCGATTCATCACTTAAAAAAAAGCCCAACCTATTCACAAAATTCCTATTTACAACGCATACGTTACACTCTTCAAAACTTAAATTACCTATACCTACCCTAAAATTAAACTTCAATTAACAAATACTACACAGGTACCAATAGGCTTGTGTCCATTAAGAATAAATATAATGGATAGGGGTTTATAATGATTAATTATATTATGGAGAAAATAACAAACAATTTTAATTATTAAAAGCGTTAAAGATTAATAATATTTTTAAAAAATAAATTTCGTAAAATGAAACCTTTAGTCACGTGACAGTGAACACCAATCAGAAAGCGTTACGTCACGCCGTGCGAAACTCCAATCTTGTCTTTGACGTTTCGAATATCACTACCTGTTCTTGATAAAATTTTGGTTTGTAACAATTAATATCAAGTTGATAAAGTTTTTGATAATTATAATTTGAAAAAATTAACCATGGAATCTGGATTGGAGAACAACTTGGAGTACAACTTTCTTTTGATTCATTTAGACACTCTTCTATTATCATCTTTCTTTGTTTTTTTAGAATATATGGCCGTTCTGTACTGCTGCATGTTCGTTTTCTTCTGTCTTCTTGACATCCAAATTTACTTGGCATACAACCTGGTTTCATGCGCACTTGTGATACTGTTCCCTTCATATGATACTCCATATAATTAATCATATCATTTGGCAACTAGAATAATAAAAAGAGTATGTTTGTAACATTAATTAGAAAACTAAAATAAAACGTTCACTCCTAAAAGTGAAACAACTTAACCTGAACTCATGTATTTATTATTTAGAAAATAGGGATTCTACAAAACACATCTAGTTTGCTCGAATTAAGTAATAGATTGTATTGTGTGAAATACTTACATCAAAATGATCTTCACAAAAATACATTCTTGAACCTGTTGATAAAGTATGAGCATCATCTCTTCTTGCAAGTTTTAGCCACTTTTTCCGTGTTTTTCCATTGTTTGGAACATATATTAATAACTTGTTTGGCGTTTTTATAGTCGTGCTATCACACTGGGGCACTATACAGTACTTATAATATGAGAAATTCATTTTTAAACGATAAAAACTAGCTATAACGTACGAAGACACGATCGCTCTTTGGTTTGTTTCGCACGGCGTGACGTCATTCAAGACGCCATGACAGTCTTGTGCGTTTTGGAACCAAATTGAAATTGGTTTTTTAAAACGCGAAATTTATAATGTAAACGCTCGATTAAAAATAAATAAACCTTTTTTTTCGATAAAATGCCTAATAAGCTAAAATATTAAGCAGTTATTGAAATTTTGTCAACTAGCCTATTCTATGAACAACTATAAACAATTCACCTAAACATTACGAGAAAACAAACGCATTCAAAACAATACCTAATCTCCCGGCTGATTACTAATCATGCAATAAACAATTCTAAATAAAAATTATTTAAAAAACATGAAGTTTTTTGTAACACTTATGTACATATCCGTAGTAAACTTGCAAATAATATCCTACATATTTTAAAAGCCAGCACAATGTACTGGGTGATCGCTTTTTTGTAACCACCTAAACATGGTCGGATTACCACGGACTTGCACCTTCTAATGACTTTTATTTAATTATCTCGTAAATTATTATATGTACGACGCTGAAATTCTACAGGTAGACAACTGAACTAAACAACTAATTATTGGCATAACATTCAGTTTATATATCCACACACAGGTTTATCGGTGGCCAAAAAAGGCCGCACACATTGTGATCGTGAACGTGGAGAGCTACATTTCATCATAACTTTTTAGTCTCTTACAGTATTCTTACGAAAATTCGTATACATTTGAAGGTAGTTACAAGCAATAGAATAACGTTTGAAGTAAGTCTTTAGAGGTCTTATTTAAAGTGTTAGGACGTATTAAAGTGTTTTCATACTTACCTAAATAATTTTTAAACGGTCCATTATTTTTGTTATTTTATTGTCGAACAAATTAAAACTAATCCTTAAGAAGTTATGTACAAAAGATGGTTACAATCCGCTTACCCGTTTCAGAGATCCAGCAAACCCACAAACGTTACTCCAGCAGGATCTCGAATAACTTCGCAGCCGAAGAAAATACAAATACCAAATAAGTTGTAACATTTACCTAGTCCGGATAACTAATTATGTAGCTAAAATTTATTTCAATATTACAATTAAAAAAGAAAATGTCTGGCTGCGGTAACGTTTCAAACGTTACCCCAGCAGGAAATGTTTTTTTGAAATAACTAAAAAAGTTTAAGTGAAACAAATTTAAAAATGTGCCTAACAATTACAGAAGGGGAGCAACTAATTATCTATAACGTTTAAATGACCATTTTCGACATTATTTTGCTGGGGTAACGCACACCCTGAAGCCAGCGGTCGGTGTGGTTTTTAGTGGAATCACCACATACTCCTGGCTCCTGAGTCCCCGAGGAGCAGGAGATCCGAAGGGGTTTTCCACCCCCTCAACAAAAAAAAAATAGGTACTCCGTCATATCCCTTTCCTCGGTAAAATCAAGAAAATTTAGTTATAAATAAGAAAAACATAGTCATTAAAACAAAACGTTTTAAATCGAAAAAAATGGTTTATTTCGGTTTTAAAAGGTATTTCTTTCGTTTGAAATGAATTGGTTTAAAACCGGCCTTACATCTATATTTATTTACAACAAATATTGACCGAGTTTGATATTTCCGGTTGCAGATTGTCTTTTATCATATTGCCTACAAAGCCCAAAACTTTAATTGCAGATATAATGAAAAAATATATCTTTTAAGTTTTTTTTTACAAAACACATTAAATATAATATGTTCCGACATATTAAAATTGGAGGTATTCGTTCCTTATCTATAAACACAGACGAAATATATATCGTTACCTGTTACGAGTCGATCTTTGTGTGATCCACAAATTGTCGTTGAGTCTGGGTGTTCTTTGTGTCTGTTTCATTTATGTTCGTAAATCCCCCCCCCCCCCCCCCCCCCAACACAGGATATATTCCTAATGCGGATTGTCTTTTTTTAAATTTTTAAGCATACTGCAACTCCCTGCGAGTTCTTATGACATTCCAATGACATATGCAAAGAAATCACAAACGAGTAGAAAAAAATGCACCTATCCATTACCGTTACAAAATTTAGAAAATATTGATACGCGGCTTTGCAATCTCACCGGCGATTGTTTTTACTTAAGTGTGGACAATTGTAAGAGCAAGCGATCGGTGCACTGATTAACAACCGAATCCAATAAAAAACGTTTATAATATTTTAACTTTTTTAATAGGGATAACTTATATAATATGCAAGGGATAGTCCCAAGGATTCCTCTTTAGTGATAAAAGGATAAAACCATTCACAAATGGAGAATCACAATTTACCACCTGCTCAATAAATACAGTCAACAGTAAGCATAATCTTAAACAATTTATCTGTAAATGATATTTAGTCATTTTACATCGCAGGATATTAACTGACAAAGTTTCAAAACTAAAAAGTACGTCTACTGGAGTCGAACGACACCGGACACGGGCGCCCGCGCCGGCCCTCGCCGCCGCCGCCGTCCCTGCTTCATCACTCGCACTATGTACACTCGCGCGCAGGCGCCGCCGGCTGGCGGGGGCGGCGGCGGCGCGGCTAGGAGGACGAGCCCGCGCCGAACATGTTGGTGCTGAAGGCGGCGGGCGGCGCGCCGCCCAGCGAGCTGGCGCCGCCGCCCGCGCTCGCGCCCGCGCCCCCCGCGCCCGCCGCGCCGCCCGCGCCGCGCGACTTGGGCGTGGGCGGCTGCAGGTACTCGTGCCGCGCCAGCCCGAACACGTCGATGCGCTCCTCCTTGCGGTACGCCAGGCACGCGCGGATGAAGCTCTGTAACGTCGCATCGTTCACCTTAGCTCTTTATAACAACGGTCTACATATCGTTTCGAGCTTCAAAACCTTATGCCGTAAATGGTTCACAGATTTTAATTATGTTGCTAATTGTCACCAAATGAACATTGAATATGATTTATTCTTGTAATAAGACATTAGACGGAAGAAGACTATAACCTAACCTATTCCAGTATTCAAGTTTGAAAAGTAATGTCAAGCCTATTCTTTAAGGGTCATGTAGGGAAGGAACATTGCTGACTGATCACCACTGAACGAAATACTTGACTTGCATTGAAACCTTTACAAATAATAAAAAAATTCTCTGGAAAATCATCATAATAGTCCACTGCTGGACATAAGACTCTCCTAAGAAAGGAAGTTTTGGCCTACTATACTGACCAAACATGTTGATATAGGGTCTGTTTCAAGTTTTCCTTCTCTTTGCAGGATCTGAAAAATGCAATGAACAAAATATTATGCAACTTAAACTAACCTTAGCCTCATTGCTGACCGTTGGTTTATTAGCAAATTGCACCTCAGTCGCTTTTAGTATCGTGTTCTCCTCCAGTATAGTCGCTTGACTCTGGTTATGACCGAAGGGCTTCTTTCCATACAAGCATTGATAGAAAATCACGCCCACACTCCATACGTCCACCTTACTACTTATCTTTGGTGGGTTTTTACCGACGACAAAACACTCAGGCGGCAGGTACCTGAAAACACGTCAACACAATTAAATATAAACCTTAAACTTTCTATTTACAATAATTATATAAAAGAGTCCTGCATTAACCTGCCTCAATACGTGTGTACTGAGCATGTATAAATATTTTTCATGTTTATTATCGTAACTCATTTTTGATCTGCCAAGGTCCTGGTTGTATTATATTAATATAATTATGTGTAACAATGTATGTTTTACAAATTAGTGAAGATAATATGTAGACATCTAAATATATCTTAGATTGCACTATATCTCTCAAGGTATTTTAAGTATTTAATGTTTTTTTTATTTTAGTAAAATTTTATTTTTAGATATATTCTTTTATCTTTGATTTATGTTTGTATTTTGTGTACATTTTTTATTCTGATCTAATTTTACTTAAATAGAATTTGAAGTTAGCTTTATTAGAGGAAAATACTGTAATTTTTCTTTACTACATTCTTTGAAAAATATTGAATACACATTAGAAAAAGCCTGTATGTCCAGGCTCATGCACTAAAGAGAGAAAAGTGGAATTAATAAATATTACTCACCAATAAGTGCCTGCACCTTGACTGGTCAAGTCCATGCCATGATCAGGATTGTAATTCTCCTCATCCATGACCTTTGACAGACCAAAGTCGGTAATTTTAATTTCACCACACACGTTACCCTCGGTGAGGAGAATGTTACCGGGTTTTAAATCATAGTGGATAACGGGAGGTTTAATCTCATTCAAATACTTCAATGCTGACACAACTTGCATCACAATTGAACGAGCTTCGCGCTCTGGAATCGTCTTATGCTGAAATTGTAAACAAAATAACATAAATCAAATTATATTTAAAATAAACTACATATCTGAGCAAAATACCAAATTTTAAAACTTTATTAGACAAATTCTGGGTAGTCAAAAATTATTTTTTATGTAAAAGTGTTAAACATATTATTAATAACTACATTTGTTGTAATCGTAAGGAAATCGTTGATTCCCCGTTATATGTAATAAATTTTTGCCTTCGAATTGCGATATTCCTCGGGCACATGAAGAATAAATAGTATGTTAGTAAACAAAGTATATCTGAATGTGTTAGTTCATAGGATTTAACTAATAAAAAATAAAGAATCTATAATTTGTAAGAAGTAAATGTTTGACATGATAATAAATTATAATTAAGAATTTCAAATTTCTCTACGATTTTATATCAAGTTTATTAGTGCTAAGATGTTGGCTAAAATCCAATTAGTAGATATAATTGTATTTCAAAAAGCTAGTAAAAGCTATGAAGCCTTTTCACACACTTTTGAGATTTGATATAAAAAATAATCATAAGGATTATTTGTTGAACTGAATAGAATAGAATAAACTACATACAGTTAATTCTTATAACGTAACTATGAATTTCGACAAATTCTCAACATTTATACATATAAATTAGTTACCTGTTTGAGATAAAAATCGAGATCATGTCCATTACAATACTCAAGAACTGTACAAAATGAATTTCCGTCAATTTCAAATACGTCATATAACTTTACGATTCTTGGGTGATCTAAGGCTTTGTGAATATTATATTCCCGTAGAGCATGTCTGTAACAAAAAATAAAACAATATAAACACCTTTTGTTTTGTACATTATCCACATAAAGATGTTTCCAAATTTTTTTTTTTTTTTATTCTACCACATACACACAACGCCATCTAGTCCCAAACTAAGCAGAGCTTGTACTATGGGTACTAGACAACTGATATAAATGCATATATACTTTTTTTTTTTTTTGTAAATACATACATATTATACATAGATACACCCACAAAATGTAGCTATAGCTTGCAACTTATAAATTCTGCTAGTCAAAGCCAACAACAGCCTTAATAAAATATCCTCACACATCTTACACACGGCTGTATGATCCCAAACTAGGCAGAGTCAGTACTATGGTACAGACTGTTGATAAACATGTTTATATATTTCTAAATACATACATATTATAGATAAATTACACCCAGACACAGAAGAAATGATCATGCTCATCACACAATTATTCATCCTGGGTAGAAATCGAACCCACGACACCTCTGGTGTCATTTCATTTAAAACATTTGAATGATGTGCCTTTTGGAATATTGAATCCTTTGCTGTTTAGGGTGCCTTCTTAGTATTGCCTTTACAATATATAATAATACGTCTATGAAAAAAACGTTAACCTGGTGGAGATGTTATAACTGAGAAGCTTAAGACTTAAGCATAAATAAATAGTAATGACATAACGCCATCATACACAGACTCACTTGATATAGTTGGCCTTTTTGTCTTCCTTCCAGTCTTTGTTTAATTGATGCACCTTGCAGGCGGTATACCGTTGTTCCCGAAGGTCAAACGCCTTATGTACTTCACTGAAACCACCTTTACCCAGTAACATCAATAGCAGGTACCTGTAACAATCGTGACAATAATTTATAATTTACACATCTCACAATCCCACACAGATTCCTAATTAGGCAGAGCCTGCAGAGAGTGGCAACCAGACTGCTGATGAACAGACTTTTATTTTTCTAAATAAATACATATTGTAGATAAATTACATCCAGACAGAAAAAATCATCATGCTATCACAAAACTTTTGTCTGCCCTGGGTGAAAATCGAAGACACGACGTCTTTCGACTTGAATCCAGTGACTCGATCTCCTAAGGGATTGTACAACACTCACTATTCCACTTAAACCAGCCAGTGGATTACACAACTGATCCCCTTTTTTTTCTGTTAGGCAATCCCATCGGATACCAGCTACCGGTGTACGAGGTTTAGCCTAGGAAGGAAATTCCTGGTACACCTGGCTATCTCCGGCTTGTAGAGACCCCCTAGTGTGTGGGAACCACGGTGTTCCCATTCTACTCCCTAATGGGCGCTCGCACCACAGTGCGCAAGTAAACGCAAATATCACAATCGGTCGTTATATGATAAAATGTTTAAAAAAATTAAACTATATTTTTAAAAACTGTAATCGATTTATAAATACAAATAAATGATATGGATATCTCTAAGAATCGGGTATTGTATAGCAATCGATTTTTTTACCTCTCCTTATTTTGCAATTTGTCAGAACTTTCAAACTGTACCTCTTAGATTAGATGGACGTACTTGTGTACGAAACGTACCATGGCCGAGGCCCAGCACATGGGATCGAAGTGGAATAGTGAGTGTTGTACAATACCCCGGGGCTTTATTCTGCTATTTTAATATTGTTTCAATAGACTTTCGAGGGAATGTCGTCGGAAGAGTTTTGCACTTTTCTTATTCTACTAACTATGTAAGGCAAATCCCGATGACCTGTCACTGATACAAATGTCGTCGATGTCTTTGTAACAGTTTGGTAAATGGCACATTATAAATTTGTAAGAAAATGATGCTTTTAATTTTCACGATACGGCAATGTTATTGTTATCACCACTGATGGCCTATATTATTATTTCGACAGTCTATTGAGACTGTGAATTTATGTTAGTAGAATACCGATATTTTGACCGATGTCAGTGGCATCTCAATAGAATGACAGTGGCTCGGCGTTAAGATAAAATAGCAGAATTGAGGTCCTGGGGGATTGAGTCAAGGGATTCAAGTGGGAAAAGCGCGACCACCGGCTTAGCGGTCAGTGTCACTAACCACTAGTGGTCAAATTATTATTTTACAAATCAATTTTTTTTTGTATTTTTCATAGATACTATTAACTCATATTGGCTTGATGGTTTGGATGTTGTCTGATTACAACCAGACATGACGTTTTATTGAAATGTTTTATAAACCAAGACAATGTGATAATACTATATATACTTTTTAGACTAATAGCAATATTTATAGGATCTATTATTATAGTAACACTAACTTTACCAATTTTTCGTAGACATTAGCAAAGGTTTGAAATGAGTTAGTGTGTTGAAAAATTTCTTATTTATTGTTATTCAATGTTAATAGTAACTTTTGAAGTTTGAAGTTATTTAAATATTGAACTATAACTAATTCATTAACTCTATTAGTTAGCATTTTGTCAGTGCTATTTCTAGATACAGATAAAATTATACTGAAATTTAGCTTTGTTAAGACCCAGAGCTCAATTAAGCATCTTTTTTAAATTAATTCTACTTTCTCCAAACACTTAAATAATATCTACATGTTTCATTTATATTATTATTCTTTACGTAAAGGTGACACACTTATTCATAGTATATTCAATAAAAAGTCAGCCATGTACTCATAACCATCAACATACAAATGCAAATAATCTGTGATAATACTAGCACTAGCAGATATGCTAAAATTTTACATTAAATTGGCTTAAAAATGTTGTCTGATAAATGTTGTTAGTGTAGAAACATAATTTATTAATTCAGGTCAGGGACAGATTGTTATCACATTTTCTTTGTCCAAACCACATTATCTTAATGAAATTAGTTGAATTTTTAAATTTTGTTGTTTTTTAAACAAATTAGAAGGTTTCAGAGATAATCAATCTTGTGATCAATGACGTTAAGGAACCAATCACAATCATACACCTTATTATTTCCAAAAGAAATTGAATCTGTGTCGTTTAATAAGTTATACCACTTTCTTTAACTATAATTATCTGTGCATACAGGTTTTCATTTTATTTTTCATGCAAGAGCTTGTTAAGTAATTGCTAAAAAACATATTTTTTGGTATTCTTACCGGTCAGAGAGCACAGGATGTTGGGAAAAGCGGCTCTGGTCTTCATTGTGTATCCGCTTTAATTCCCTAATGTGAAGATTTCTTTCTCGTTCTAACTTTTCCATTTCTAGCTGCAAATCTGCATCTTCCTTTTTAAGTGCACTCTGTCTCAACTGTAACAATAAATAATATTTTAGACTCCAATACTAAATTCATGTTTTTGTACTTGATCACAAATCTTTAATTAAGAAACAATTTTATGATTTATGTGGATTGTTTTCAACTACATCAAATTAATTGAAAATCATTCTATCTTTCCTATTGGATCATTATGTCTAATTACAGGCTGACTTTAGTCCATTCCAGACAAGAAAATAGTGACACATTGACCAAATCCCGCCCCCCCTGACAAATCTGGTACCAAGAAATTATCCTTTCATGTGAAACCGTGGAACTTGATCGATCAGGGGCCCATAGTCCACTGTCCGATGTCTATTGCAATAAACTAACTATACTTAATTTCACAACCGCGTAAGCAAAATTCAAGAAGTACATAAACAGACTACTGCTATACATACTAGACAAGAACAATATATTTGTAATGTCAATTTCGTCCTCAACACGTTAGCATTGTGAATTAGGATTTTTATTTAATTCTCATTATGGCGAGTTACTAAAAACCTAACAAAACATTCTATCATCATCAAGAGTATCATAATTATATGCTTTGGAATACTGGACTGATTTTTGTTTCCTACCATAGTTAAATTTGATACCTTAAGAATTTCATCAGCTTCATAATACTCCTGATACGTCATACTGGGCAACGGGTCAGGCTTGAGGAAGGTGGGCGCGTCGGTGCCGTTGTGTAGCGGCGAGGGCTGCGGCGTGGAAGGCGCCGCGGTGGACGTACGCTTGCCGCGCCCGCCTCCTCCCTCGCTGTTAACTGGTCGCTTTTTAAATAATAGCTTCTTCTGACGATCTATTTCTTCTTTCTCAGCTGTTATTTCTTCTTGCCGCCTATTGAATAGATACAACATCTTTTACTTGAAATTTTGATTAATATCTGCTGTCAACAGATTACCTTAGATTTATGTTCTTCCCTTTTTTTACGGATTGGTTACCGCGCCATTTTAATATAAAATAAATTAAGAACAAAAATAAAAAAGAATAACAACAATTAGTAAATAGTGGTTTACCTTGTAAGTTCTTGAAATGCATATCCATCAGTCCAATTCTCTTGAAATGTGGCTCCGACACGCTGCGTCACGAACTGCCCGAGCCTTAGCCGATTCTGCATACATCTTTGCCGTGCCTCTTTTTTCTCAATTGTGCTTTTTTCATTCAACAGTTTTTTAACAACTTCTATACATTTATTGATGTGTGATTTATGTTGCTCTATTACCTGTAACATTATTATCATTACAATTTTATTACCTTCACTATACGATATAGCCAAATGTTTTACACAAGTAGCCAGTTGGCAATACCTTGCTCTGTGCTTGAACTTGATGTTTCAATTCTTCATTAGATCTTGTTAATTCTTCTATTTTATTATTTCTTAGTTCTAAGTCAGAAGATGCCTGAGTTTCTAACTCCTGTATCCTCTGACATGTCAGGTCTGTTTGAACCTAAGGACAATTGCATTGATAACACACATTCACAATTGAATAACAATAGTTTAAATATGTATATGTAGAAAGAGAATACACGCCTCACCTGTTTAACAGTTGTGTGAGGTCGTTGCTGTGACGCCGAACGTAAAAAGTCGGCTCCCGAAGGTAGTAACGATGATGGAGACGGTGGGTACTGTTCAATGAAAATGTAATTATTGTTTCTACCATGGGACCACCTTAGTATGTACCTTTACAATTTGAGTGTAAGTATCTTTGTTACAGCCTCTTGAGAATAAGTAATTTATGCTCTATTCTGGCCTTGGATAAATCTTGTTAGCTTTTGTCAACAGTTGACAAGAGGGGCAATCAAGCTATACAATAATAACCCACAAATAATCCTACTATTTTAAAATATCTGAATGTTAAAATGAAATTATGTTCTCAAAACATTAAAATTTTTCTCAAAGAATGATTAAAAAGTAGCTTTTTCATGCTCCCATTGTTCCCATTTATCTAAATATTGTCAAGCAATTCCAGTGTCATTCAATAACATATCATTTTTTCACTGTGGATACCATATGTTCATTTTTATGCTACTAACAACATGTATAAAATTTTATTACTGATGGTCAGTTTAGTTGCAAAATTGTAATAAACAAACAATTATAATAGTTCAGATTCCATTTAAAAATAAAATAATTTTAAGTGGTCGGAAAAGGAGTAAAATATTGCTTATTGCCTGCTGAATTGATATGGTACTATCTGATTACCATTTTATTATTTTGAATATACTGCAATTTATAAAACACAATTAGTGCAATTACCATTGGATAATTAGCGCCTTGTGGCGAAGGTGACTTGGCGCCGGCATGCCGCACAGGACTTGACGACGGGTGCTTTGAGAAATATTCCCTAATATTTTTATCCGAGTTATGCCTCTGCTTTCCACCACCTCCTCCACCGCCGCCTACACCTTCGTCTCCTGTAAAAACAAATTTTATTTATGAGTATCATAATGCCATAAATAAACCTGAATATCTAAGTTTAATGAAGAGGACTTGGGCTTTCTGGCTACAACCAGTTTGACTCACATATTTACAACCCTGACTTACCTAAGCTATTGCTTATACTATCTTTTTTTATGAGTGGCAACCCCGCGGGCCGTCACTATCACGGCGGGTGGTATATCGAAATAGAACCGACCAAATCCACACGCTGTGCCAATCTACGCCTGAAATAGGAGGGATTGGGCACAGCTGTACCTAATCCAACCATCATTAGGTAGGTTTGTCACCTTTGTCAAAATTGACAAAATGTAGGTGTTTGTTTAATGCCTCTACCCAACCCTTTAGAGAGATATAGTAGTGAGTAAATTTATATATGCAATGGGTTTTACATTGAGTCACACATTGGTAATTACAATAAAATTGTAATAAAAGTAATTTTCACCGTTTACTAACACAATAACTTAACTTTTTTATTGTTGGTCCCAAAATGAATTAAGAAATAAATGAATAATGAATAAAACATATTTTAATTCTATGGATGCAAAGACAATATATCAATACAAGTGAAAACTATTCTTACATTAGCCAAGCTATTCAAAACATATTCAGTACAAATAAATCATTGAAAAGAAAGGCAAAAAAACCAACTGTGTGAAATTGTATGGGTACTTAAAATTTACACACAGGTAATTTTAATTTTTATTATTTTCATGTACCTAGTGTCACTCCCAAAATTAAGACAAATCCAAAGACACATCTTAAATACATTTATCATCCCAAATCCATCAAGCCCGAACACAGAGCATGCCAAAAGAATACAATTGAAAGAATAACTCTCTTTCGATCACCATCAATTAAATAATAGGGAATAAAATTGTTATTTCTAGATTCCTTCGCATCAGTAGAAATGATTCAGTACAAAGGTTAAATTGGTATAACTCATAAACCCCTCCAATTAAACATAGAAACAAAAAAACATTCAGTGATACAAGAAAAAAATTATGTAACACAGATATCATCCTGACGGAAGGTAAAAAAAAATCTCACATGCTACTTGAAAGCAAAAATAGTTTACCAGATTATATTAATTTGAAATAGGATATATTATAAAAGGGCTTACTTATGATAACCAGTAATACTAACAAGAATGCTATATTGCTTTGCTTGGCAATCTTTATATACTGATATTTTAAAATTTAATGATATGTATATTTTCTATTCACCTTTTCGTTTTCTTTTCCTCTCAGGCATGGCTATAGTAGGTGTGGCACCACTAGGTGGCACTAACGCTGTACTAGGTGCTACAGTTGAGCCTCGCATAGCCACTGACTTCTCAGGAGTTAAAGCATCAACTTCTTTATCACTATGAGATGACCCTGAAAACAGACAATATTTCTAGCTATTAAGGAATTTCCTACTAAATATGACAAAACCAAAAAGGCAATGTTATAATAGATCTAAACATAGTGGAGTGGAGTGGACATATCTGGAGCAATGAAAATTTTACTTTTCCCATAGAACCTTATAGAGACTAAAATTAAATTAAAAACATATTTTGTCGCTTGTTTATTTAAATTATGATATTTATGTTTTAAAACTATCATTTGATATATACACAAAAAAATAAAAGAACATGTTGTGTATACTACTTTGTTTTCTTGAAGAAACATGCAAAACTATCAATGGAATTGAACAAGTTGGATAAATGTAACTTGATTATTATAATGAAGTTTAAAAACACCTCAGTGTTAGATAATAACAAGTGTCTAAGTTATAACTTATATTTTGACAGGCAAACTGTTGTTTTTCTCAAACTTGATCATGTCAATTGATTATAATGAGCGTTTATTTATGTCAAGGAGTACATACATATATGTATACTACCAAATAATTTCTACAAAACGTCAATAAATCATGAGCAGTTAACTCACTTTTTGACAAGGAGCTCAGTAGGCCGACGTGGTTTATGTTAGCACCGCTTTTATAGTCATGCATTGTGGCACGCAATAGTCTCGGTTCTTGGGGAGAAAAACGGCACTTTCACGGTTCCTATCCGGCATCATACACGACAAATGACGTCACAATCCTTCCTTTAATAAGAGTTTTTCACACAAGTTCGTCCCTCAAGAGTTTGTAGGGAAAGGTTAACCTTTGATGACAAGCCGGTGTGTAGTAAACACTGAGAACACTGATCACTAATCACAAACATTGATTCCACTTTTATCACTAAATCACAATTTACCTGTGCTCATATTGGAGTCCTGATTGTGTAGAGGTTGCCCGGTGTTGACAGTGGTTTGTGGTGCCATCTGAATTTGTGACCCAGCTGACATCTGTAAAGAAAGATGGCGTCTTTACATATGACTCGCCCAGTTTTAAACTTACTCTTGCTTTCGCAAATTTCCGACACATAGTCATTAATACTCACAAATTACGTCTAAGGCAACTAGTCCATAACAATTATTTTACTATTTCTCACTTCATCTAAATAACCTAACTAGTTTGACAAGTTGTAAACGAAATGCCAGTCGCGACAATCGGATACGCATCCGCGGAGAGCGGTAAGCGGGGGGGAGGTGTAGAGTAGAGATCGTCACGAAGTTTGCTTCGAATGTAATAATAATAACGACGGGCGAGGCGCCATTTTACAAGGATACAAGGCCAAAAGCATTGTTATATTCAGTGAAAAATATCTGCCTGCAACTGTCGATGTAAGCAACCACGAAATGAATATCAACGTATTATTTTATAAACATATTTACTAAGTACCAGATATCAAAAACCGTTGTGCGTTCACTCGCAAACGCGCGAAGCTAGGCTACAGGTCAACAGCCCGCGATTGCGATCATGTTGTTGTTGACTAATTGCATTTTTGCACAAAATGCTAAGGTATGTTAACCAAACTAGGTTTGATTTTTGCCAAATATATTAGGGTACATACGGTAAGAGGAAATGACACTTGTAATTTAAAGTTAAGCCACGACTACGAATCGACTTGACCGATTATTCCCGCAATGAGGTGGCACCGGCGGGTGGCGGGCGGCATGCCACCGACCGCGGCGAACGAGTGGGTACGTGATATCGGCCCTCGTGCCCCACAACAAACTGCTTACTGGACGTGTTACGTAGGCGTCTGTGCCGCGATGTACCAACATATAAACACGGTAAGGTCTACCGTACCTATATCCACTTTAATGTTCGTGTTCTAACTATGGACCTATATTTCTTATAAATAATTATTCAACTAGAGCTCAAACGCGTAGTGTTATGTTATACATATATAAATTATAAGATGGAAACATATTTTGGTTAATTTAATGAAATTCTCATAGGCACATTTTGTTACTTTAATAAATCAGTGACCGCTTAAAATTACCCGGAGTCAATGCCTTTTCGCCACGTTACTTCAGTCAAAAATAATGTTACCGAGTAAGTAAATAAACGACATAAATTAACATCTCATGTCATCGTATTTACAAAGATATTACCTAAAACCTAATAATTATTGGGAACTATACTATATTACTTCATATTAAATAATTTTAGATCAATCTATCTATTACAAATCCGCCTAGTTCTTCTGTCCTTTCAAACCAAAATAGCTTTTTCTTTCAAATCATAATTTTGAGGCACCGATTTGCATTCAACAATCTATATTTCATGTTCCTTTGGTTTTACGCAAAAGGGATTGCCTACTGTAAATTTCTTGCGATTTTTGCGATTTCTATTGCTCCGTAGGTACCTTAGGTTCTAATTTAGGAAGAAAGCGGTTCGTTTTGGATGAAGCACCCTCGACGGCAGTCATTTGACATTCCGCCCACTTAAATTCGTCAAGTTGGAGGGAATCCAGGTGTGAATATTCAACTATTACTTCCATTGCTAACTTTACTGCTACTGCTACGAGATAGATAAGCACATTAAAACAGGTATCTACCTGTTACAACAAGATACAAGATATTAGCTATAACGGAACGTTTAAGTTTTTTTCAACACTTGTCGTGTTCAATTCGTTTGTATGTGAATGTGGTTAGAATAGAATATTAAAATTGACAATGTTTTTATTGTTATATTTCTAGAATCTATAAATTTATATTAATAGAATAATATTACACTTTAAACATAAACCAAAAGGTTGTGGTTATTTTAAACGAGTATAGTGTGTGTACAATATGAATTTTAGTGCATTGAATTAAGGTAAATTAAAGTGAATTGATTGTGCATGACATAAATAAAGTAAAGTAAATCTTTCGTGATTATTCAGAAACAAATCATCGTAAAAATCGTTGCTTTCCCCTAAAATGTCCTAGAAATCACTGCTTGAGACTGTTCTATTTGATACTAGTTTCAGCATGTCTCACGTAAACAGTACTACACTACATGAGCAAAGATTTCTACATAAATGACGTTCTAAAATAAAGTATCTTGAAGATGTATTGGTGAATCTCGTTTTAAGTGACGTTCAATAATAAAATCTCTACTTGAAATTAGTTTTAAGACTAGATTCACGACTGAGACACCTTTTAAAATACGAGCCAGAGTGATTCCAGAAGCGGGTTTATATGTATAATACATGCATATTATATAGTACATAAATCCGGGAATTTCAAAAATTTGTAAACAACACAAACATCTTCGTAAAGTGAATGTTTTTGTGCACTAACATTGCAAACGCTGGCTAAACCTTACGAGATAGAATAATATGTACCTACTATAGAATTGTTTAAAAACCCCTGTTTCTCCAGACAGACTTCACTAAAATTAACTCTAAAGGATATTTTGTTAGGTAAAGTATTTATACCTAATGTAATAGGATTTTAACTTGTTGAAATCATGATTTTTAAATATTAATATTAAATAATTTTGAAAATCGAACAGTTATAATCTGTGATTATCTTGGTAAAAACAAACTCTACATAATCATTTACATACATAATTTTTATGTTTCATTGTTGTTTTTTTTAAGGTAGAAAAAGAGCTTATTACTTTTATGTAAATAATCAGATCCATGTTCTGTTTGTATTTATATGGATAAGTCATGGACGTTTAAGAAAAGTCGGAGAACAAAAAAACTGTGTCATACATAGTCGGCCATCTTGCTGTATTTACAGGCCGGTACGCACACTTTCACACATTAGTCGGCCATTAAGCTCGCAAACATCAAGACAGCGAGACGCATTACGCGGAGAAAACATATAAATACACAACATGTTTTGCTAGTGAAATGCTGTAAAAACCGTACTGACCATAACAAAAATAATCCAGGAATCACGTTTTATAGGTAAATGAATAATTAAATCACTTATTTGAACATTTTGTACATCAAAATTAATCAGCATTCGCTAGAACAAAAGAATTCATTATGAGCCCAGTGTTGCCAATTTTCACGTGTGCAAATTACCCGAGGCTAAGATTTTTTTTGGCTTGTTATTAAAATCCATTCATTAAGGTTATTTATTTAATAGTTACTACTAGACTTCTTTTACTAAATTTTCTAAGGATAATGGAGTATGGAGAAATGATTGCATTCAAATAATTAGAAATTGTAAATAAAGACAACACAAATATTTTCTAACAAAAATTCTAAAAAAGCTTGTTGTCAATGAAAGCATTTTTTAAACTAAGAATCTGAACATAATTTCGTCGAAATAGAACACAAAATAAGTCATATTAAATATGTAGAGGAAATATATTAAACGATTCGGTTTCACCACATCACGAAATTAGAGGACATTTCAAGAACCTCTGTAAGTATTTTAAAAACGTTATTATAAAAAATACTCAGCATTTAGGACATTAAACAGTAAAATTTCGATCAATTTTTATTTTTAGGGCATAAATTTGGATCACTTGGCAACCCAAAAATTCATTCACACACAGAGAGCTGCCACTATTAAGTTGCCTCAGTTTTGTGTTAGCGAGAGTTCCGTCCGACTTTTTCTTTCGATTCTTTTCAAATCTAAGATAAATTAAACTTCCTCTTATGATTTTTATTTTCTAGCGTAATATCTATTACGTAATTAAAGAAACGTAGCCACCAGTAGTTACGAAGTACGGCTCGTTGCTGATAGCAATTTTACCGAGCTAGTTATAGGAGTAAAAAAACGATCGATTCTTTAACTTTATAAAACGTAGGTGTCAATATCAAAACATAGTGATTAGTGAGAGACACAAAATGTATAAGCGTTATCGTGGTAACGTTGCCGTTCTGCGTGTACTCCCTTTGCCGGCCTCTTGCCCCACCTCTCCCGTTTGCAAGCGATCACCTCCTGTACAAGGTAGCAACAAAAGTCAACCGTAAACGCAACGCATTTCGATTGGATAAAAACGATAAGGAAAAAAAGGATAGTCAATAACAAACTTAAAAGTTTCATTTATAAAGTAAATTTTTACAAGGTTTAAATGCAGTATGTAGCTGTAATAAGACGATAAGAAAACTAATAAAAATATATTTTATTTATTTTTTAAATATTTAGCAATGAAAAGAGAAAAATCGTAGAATAATCTTCTATAATGGTAAAGTTACATTACTATCATTCAGTAAAAAATAGTAATACCACGCTTCAATTAACGAATCAACCAATAAATTGCTTGCACTCTGCAGTGTGCTTTGTCGTTTCTATTTTTAGCGTACCTACATAGCAGTAGACGAATGGAAAGTTAGCGAGTTGGCAACATACGTAACTAGGTACATATAAATAATAACAAGTATACATACACGAGCTACGTCGATAATCTCAACTGCATGAAACGAGACCTGCGCCGCTTATAAACTACTTTGAACAAAGATCTCAATTTACAATGTTATGTTTTAGTAGCTATCGCAGCGCAGTGCCTCATGGGAGATAAGAGAAAAAATGTTCTTAAATTGCAACCTTGACTTATTAGAATTTACCGAACCATCAAGCATTGTCTCTAACTTAACATAATAAAGTTACATAGTGAAAATTCTGGTTGAAACTTGTGGATTATGGTGGATAATGAACTATGAATTTTACTTAGAAATTAAAGGGGCAACTCTTAATGCATAAAAAAGCTCTTAAAAGCTTACATCACTAATAAATACCATAACCATGCGATGTAACAAAGCACTGCACAGATAAACAAAACCTACAGTGTATTTGTATTATTAGTATGCATTTGCGCCGCACAAGATACGTCTCTGAAAGACAATCAATACTCAGTCACATCTCTGTCCCGCGTTCATTGTAGAAGCGCAGTTTTGCGGACCCCAAAATCCCCTCTTCCGGTGCGGGCGTTCAGCCGCGTGCTGTTTAACCCAATTTTCTAGTGCGAGGGGTGTGCAGGGCGCGAGGTGAGAGAAAGGGAGGGTGCG